GATAAATCCTAGAAACATTATGCTTAGTGAAATGAGCCAGTCATTAAAAGACAAAATACTATGATTATGAGATACCTAAAATAATCAAATTCATAGACAGAAAAAGCAAAATATTGGTTACCAAGGGCTAGTTGGGAGAAAGGAATGGGGAGTGACTGTTTACAATACAAAGTTTCAGTTTGGAAAGATGAAAATTTCTTGAGATGAGTAGTGGGTTATGGTTAAATAACAACCATGAACATACTTAATGCCACTGAACTGTAGTCTTAAAAATTGTCAAAACCTGTATGTAATTTTTACCACAATAAACAGAAGGAAAGAAGGAAACTAGGGAGGAGAAAAGGAGAAAGAGGAAAGAAAAGGAAGTCATTTGAGGAAGAGATAATAATCTTATTATTTATCATAATTATCAAAAAAAGAGTAGCTAAATAAATTATGTCATATCCATATAATGCTCTGCAGCCATTAAGAAAAAAAGACAAAGGAAGATGTTGGGATGCTTGGGTGGCTCAGTGGTTGAGCATCTGCCTTCAGCTCAGGGTGTGATCCTGGGATCTGGGATGGAGTCCTGTACTGGGCTCTCCACAGGGAGCCTGCCTATGTCTCTGCCTCTCTGTGTCTCTCTCATGAATAAATAAATAAATCTTCAAAAAAAAAAGACAAAGATGCAAAAAAACCATTTGAGTGGTTGTATATGTAATGGATTGGGGATGCATAAGTCTTCAGGATGTGAACACACGAAATGGTAAGATACTGATAATGGTAACACCTCCCAGCTGGCCAAATGGATGCTAAGGGACAGGAGAAGGGATACTTATTTTTCAAATAAAAATCCTTTCAATTTTGTATCATGTCCAAAATATAACCTTTTCAAAAAAATTAAATCACCATTCTCCCCTATACCTTCCTAGCCTTAAGCAACCACTAACATATTTTTCATTTCAAAAACTTGCCTATTCTAAGTATTTCATACAAATAGAATCATAATAGATAGTCTTTGGTAACCAACTTTTTTCCTTTATCATAGTAAATGGCACATTTTTTTTTCTTGCCAAACAACATTCACATTTTTACTTATCCATTCACTAGATGATAGACATTTGGGTTTCTTAAACTTTTTAGCTATTATGAATAATGCTAATATTCATGTACAAGTTTTTGCGCAAATGTATGTTTTTACTTTCCCTTGGGTATTATACTACCTAGATGTGGAAGGGGGCTATAAAATAACTCAATATTTAACTTTATGAAAAATCCCAAATTGTTTTCTAAAGTGGCTACACCAATTTACATTCCCACCAGCAACATACGAGAGTCACAATTTTCCACATTTTCGCCAATACAACTTACTGTCTTTTTTATTACAGCTATTCTAGGAGGGATAAAATAATATCTCATTGTGATTTTGATTAACAATTCATTCTTGACAAAAGTACAAAAGGCAACTGAATGAAGAAAAGGACTTCCAACAAGTGATGTGAGAACTGGACACCTATATATAAAAAAGACTGAACAACTGGAACTTACACACCTTATACACCTCACACCTTACCCAAAAATTAACTTAAAATGGATCACAGATCTAAGTGCAAAATGTTCAACAATAAACATTTTATAGAAGAAAACAAAGGAGGGACACCTGGATGGCTCAATAGGTTAAGCATCTGCCTTGGGCTCAGATCATGATCCGAGGTCCTGGGATCAAGCCCCAGGTCAGGCTCCCTGCTGAAGAGTGCAGGCTCCCTGCTCTGCCTCTCCCTCTGCCCTTCACCCTGCTTGTGCTCTCACTCTCACTCTGTCAATTAAATAAATGTTTTAAATCTTTAAAAAAAAGAAAAAGGAAGAAGAAAACAAAGGAGAAAATCTTCATGAACTGACGTTAGGAAAAGCATTCTGGATATGACACCAAACACATGATTCTTAAAACAAAAAGTAATACACTGGACTTCAAAATTAAACTTTTGCTATTGAAATACAATGCTGAGAAAATAAGACAGATGAATACTGGGAGATAATATTTCCAAATCACACCCTTAACAAAAGACTTATCCAGAATATATGAACTCTCAAAACTCAAGAGTAAGAAAAAATACAACCAAATTTTTAAAAATGGGCAAAAGACTTCAATAGATCAAAGAGGATAGACACACAGATGGCAAGTAAGTACATGAATCAATGCTGAACATCATTAGCCATCAGGGAAATGCAAATTAAAACTGCTACATATCTACTGAAATAGCTTAAGTTTTTAAAACTAACAATACCAAGTGCTGGTAAGGATGCAAAGCTACTAGGACTCTCATACCCTGCTGAGATTGGGGGAACTTCCATAAAACAATATAGTGTCTTTGGAAAATAGCTTGACAAGTTTCTTAAAAATTGAATACACACTCACTATATGACCTAGCGATCCCACTTGTAGGTATTTGTCAAACAGCAACAAAAATTTATAGTTAACACCAAAGTATAAAGGTTTATAGCAGCTCCGTTCATAATTCCATAAAATGAAAGCAAACCAAATGTCCTCCAATAGATGTACATGCATATAATGGAACAATACTCAGCAATAAAAACGAATGACCTATTGATACACAGAACAACTTAGAGGAGGCATTATGGTGACTGAAAGAAGACAGTCTCAAAAGGTTACATAGTATATAATTCCATTTATATGACATTCTAGAAAAGGAAAAATTAATAATGATAGAGACAGATCAGTGATTGTCAGGCCTTACAGGGAGAGGTAAGGTGTGACCACAAAGAGTTTCTGGTGTGATCCTGTGCCCTGACTAGTATATCCCACATCCTATTCTACACTCTGATAGTGGCAATGGTTAAACAAATCCTTACTTGTGTTGTAACTCATGGAACAGTATTATCAAATAAAAAGTCAATTTCATTCTGATAATCTTAAAAAAAATTTTTTTAAAACTTTAAAAAGCTGGTCAGATTCATGTTAAGTGGCAAAATTCCAAGATGTGAGCACAAAGAGTGGGGAACTCCTAAAAATCATCTTCCTTAGAGACATCTCTGAATCCTTCTATAGTTGTGTTAAGTCCATTTTATCTTTCATTTTGACTACTTTTTAAACATGCAATGACCTCCCTTCCACCTTCCCCAATTACCCTGTCAACAGTGAGGATGGTGTATTGAACTTGTTATATATCTTCTTCCATAAGAAAAATAAAACATCTTTTCTTAATAAATGGTAAGTACAACAATATATGTAAATATTTCTTTTAGTTATTAAAATTAGTATAAAACTGTGTGAACAAAACAATTTTTAGTATTTGTATAGATTCTCAAACATAATTCATAGGTACATATTCTGAAAATTATTTTACATTAACACATCCTAAAAGTCATCATGTTTGGTCATTTCCCAAAACCATATTTAACAATGGAAAATGATTTATCAAAAAATACTTCTTTATTCTAGAGCTCTACTCTATTCTATTAAAAGTATCCTCCCAGGACACCTGGGTGGCTCAGCTGGTTGAGTGGCTGACTCGATTTCAGCTCAGGTCATGATCTCAGAGTTGTCAAATCAAGCCCCGTGTCGGGCTCCATGCTCAGGGGGGAATCTGCTTGAGATTTTCTCACTCCCTCTACCTTTGTCCCTCCCCTGTTTACTCCTGAGAGCATGCACGCATGCTCTCTAAAATAAATAAATAAATCTTAAAAAAAAAAAAGTATTCTCCCATTAATGTATTAAGTCATAACTGATTCTAAAGATTGCACTGCTGAAATATCCACATGAAAATCAGAGTGATCAAAAAAAAAAAGAAAATCAGAGTGATCAAACTTTAACAGACGATGAACTGATTTCATATCAGCAGAGCTACCCTAGTAAATAAGAAAGCTTTCCCCATTAAGAAAGGCCTTTGAGAAAGAATTATGCTCATTCTTTTTCCTCTAACATACATGACTTATTTTAGCGTAGTGATGCCAAAAGAATTATCATTGCTAGAAATTATATACAGGCCTAACAATAAGATTCTGATTAGTGTCACAAATGATCAAATATGTTATCAATTATAAACTTATAGGAGTTGATTTGCAATTAGAGTGTCCAAATATAGATCCCACAATTTCACTGAGTAAATGAGTTCTCTAACTAGTACCCACTCACATGTATATGTGAAATAATTTCAGCTGTAGAAAACTCAGCTGTTTTTTATCTATATGATTTCATTTATATAGAAGAATCCTCAAAAATTTACATACACATATTTTCAACACATATTTAACTGGAAGGTTAAAAAACAGGTAGGGGTGATATTATACTATCAATTTAAGTATTATATTACAGCAACAAGAACATAGATATTAAATAAACCTCATTTTAAGATGCAACTAAGATAGGACAAACTAAAGCCAATCCCATCCAGCTACAAAATGTGTATGTGGATACGTACATACCAACAAATAATATCATAGATAAACAAGGCCTTAATGAACTACCTCAATCAAATAAGACAGAGGTCTCACATCACGGAACAAGTGTACGGGTACTGTTTGGGGTAGCACCTCTCCACACTGGCCTCCTCTTTAAGATGAAAATATGACTTCTTCTAAATCAAAAAGCATGTTTAAAAATTGTTTCTACTTTTGCAGATAGATATAGTTCAATAAGTAAAAAGTAAATTTCTCCTGTGTACTGAAGTATCTATGAAAGCACCTAAAACTAACCAGTTATAAAATATAAAATGAGCCCAAGTCTTATGTCTCCCCAACTTCTATCTATAAAAGCACACGTTAAGGACTTTTACACTCTGTCATTTCTGAAAACATGCTAATGTGCGTGATATTTCCAACCCAGATGTTCCATTCTCCAGCTTACATTCTCAAATGTTGATTCGACTCAAACTACCTACAATTCAACCAAATCACAAATAGTCTGGACTAATAAATCATGGATGGTACTTTTAGTAACAGCCTGGCACTCTGTGAACTGATACACATCCAGCAAAAATACATCATTTATAATTGGTACGTACGTTCTTTCCGATGCTCCACTAAGCCCACAGCCTGCTTTGCTGAGCACTTTGCAAACCAATTGTCCCCAAGTAAAACAGTGACTTCATTAGTATGGACAAGCTTTCCTGGCATGAAGGCAAAGGGGCCAAATGGTACCTATTATTGACAGGAAGGAAGGGAGGGAGGGAGTAAGGAAGAGAGAAGACAAAAAATTAAAAACACTAAAAAATACATTTTATGAAACAGCATTAAAAGCTCTGCGTTGAGGTCTTTTTATCGATACACTAAAAAAAAAATGTCAACTTCATAGAAATTTAACATTAAAGTTTCACTAAGAAAACCTATAGAAATTGCTTTAGGTTAACGAATCAATGTTAAAACAGGAAAAGGAATCAGCACATTTACATACAGCTTTCAGAGAAATTAGCACTGTCTGAATGTTTATACTTCATGTTCTTTCACCAATCTAAATGAAAGAAAACTAGTAATGAAATATTAATACCTTTGATTTAAAAACCTGAAAATTATTTCCAATAATATAGCCATTTTTTTAACAAAGCTAGAATTAACAAATAAACAGCTTTAATGAATCTACAAATTTTATGAAATATTTGGGCTAGTAGAATAAAGAACAATATATTTACAACACAATTGGGCTAACGTAATTAAGAACAAAGTCTTCATGAAAAAGAATATTCAAGCAATGAAAGAATCTAATCCAGGGCTCACAAATAGATCACTATGTCGATATGGAGATCATTCAGACAAAAATTAGTAGTACCTTTTTATATAAAATCAATATTCTAGGGTGTAATTCCATGAATTATACAACATTATGATCTATTCCTGCACTGGCTAACAGGAAACGACTAAGTGCCATATTTCTGCCTTAATTACAGTTTTCTAACACAGAAAATTTGCATACCAAATTTGTCAAATTTTGTGCTAACATTTATGCCATTTGTGTCACCATAATGTGATAACTTAATATAAATCTGAAAAAAATGAAAAGAAGCAAATACCAACTATTACAACAATTAGTGGATTATTATAAAGTAAAACACAACAAACTTTGCGTGCTATGGTAGTTACTTCAGATACTATTAAGCAAAGCTAATTTATTAATTCATACATATAAAGCAAAACAAATCTTCTAACTTTACATAGTTAATATGTAAACAACATACTACTTTAAAAGCAACACACCAAACATACCATGATATTATAAGACAACTTATCAGGCAAGGTGCTGAGTCTTTCTTGAAGGGCATTATAGTCATTATCTACCTTCTTCCTGTTGACAAAAAAATAGCAAATACTAAATGAATACACAAACTAACAATTCCTTGAGTAGACTGTGTATCAAAAGACAAACTAAATCAAAAATCCAATTTTAGCAATTTAAATATTAAAGCATTTTATAATTTTAAAATTCTATGTTTACCAAGTTTAGCAGTGGCATTATTCAACCATACATGTATCAAAAATTAAGACTCTAAATGCCTTTGGTTTTAGAATTAGAACACACATCTGGAGAACTAGTGTTTTGTAATGTAGAAAATAATCTGAACTAAATAAAATTTGGAAATTAAAGGAGATACTGAGAGAGGGCCTGATGTTTAGACAGAAACAGGGACTTAAGATGAAGGAAGAAGAGATTTAATAAAGCTTGTGGGTGAATAAACACTGGCTGCACAGCAGAAATCATGAACACAAAATTTGATCAGAGGCTTCAGTCCTTAGAAAACTTAGAGCTGAAAAATGTGTAAAAACCCTTCAGTTATTCATACTAATGTGACTAAGGTGAAAGAGAACCAACCAGGAGCTAGAAGAAATTAGGTAGAGGTAATACAAAAAAGCATTTCAATTTGGCTTTGGAGCCTGTTTCATGTTACATCAAGAAAGAGCTACCTAATAAATTAATTTCAAATAACCAAAAGATATAATTCTGTAGAAGCAGAAATGGTCATGTTTCCACACTATGAATGAATGAATAGTCCTTCTTGCAGATGCCTATTTTCAAATCTTCTCTGAAAATTAGGTTTCTAAAGGGTTCCTTACTAGGGTGTAAGCAGCAGGCTAAACCAGCACACTGAAATCTTTTAAAGTGAAAGGGTGTTGTCAAGTCAAAAAATAAAATAAAATAAAATAAAACTCACAAATTCAGCAAGTAATTTTTAAAAACATGTAGATATTGCCAAACTGAAATTAGAAAAAATTGCAACATAGATAATCACTCTCCAGATAATAAAATGACTGGTCTATAAACATCATGGAATTAATTTGTTTACTCCTTAGCACCCGTAAAAGCAAGAGGAGCATAATTAATAAAACTTATCTCATTTAGTCTTAAGAATATCAAGGAATTTCACATACATACTATGCTATTCATCCTAAACATATTCCTCTAGTAAATGTCTCTTAACAACATTTTCCTCATTCAAAAAAGAAAGTAGAAAGAAGATGGAAAAACCAAACATTTAAGAGAAATCAGATCTCCTCCATCAAAAAAGCGGCAAGCAATGAATTTAACCTAGGTCTTCTGGCCTGTGTTTTTTCAAGCAAGCCCTTTTATTTCCTAGTTTTGAAGTGCTTTTGTAAAATGGTCCCTTAAAATCCTTCCTTATAAACACAAATGTCTTTATTCTATTTACTTAAGGGAAAAATATCCTTCTGAGTAAATTTTTATAGGAATTAAATGGTTTTTAAAAACTTCATGCACAGGGCTACAAACCAGAAAGAGCATGACTTTAAAGTTAGATCAGAGAGTGAATCCCAGCTCCACCACTTAACATAAACAAATTAACCCTAGTCTTAGCATCTTCAATGGCAAAGCCAGAATAATTCCTCTCTCACAGGTTCAAAAGAAAGAAATAGGACGGGTTTAGCAACAAAAACGAACATTACATATCCAATGCTCTTTTTTTCCCCATGAACTTTCAAAAAACACTAATTGTAAAATTTTCAAGACTACTACCCACTAAGTTAAGATTCCATTATGTTAAATTCATTCAATCTGATAAAAAGAGTACAACTTACTGAAAGACAGTACAGTTAAATGCTACCTTTTAGGGGGCTTTTGGAGATAGGGTTGAGTAATAAATGGGATAACTGTCTGTAAAGAACTGACTTGATACAATGCCTGCACACAGTAGACACTCATTAAATCTACCAAACACTAATAGTATTTTTTAGATAAGTAATTCAGCAAATGCTTAAGGACTAAACAACAGCTCAGAGGTCTAGATGTTTCTGTTATTGTTAAAAAATTAATACTGAAGTTAGTGCTCGGGATGCCTGGGTGGCTCAGTAGTTTAGCACCTGCCTTCGGCTCAGGGCGTGACCCCTGAGTCCTGGGATCGAGTCCCACATTGGGCTCCTTGTGGGACTGCTTCTCCCTCTATGTCTCTGCCTCTCTGTGTCTCTCATTAATAAATAAATAAAATCTTTAAATTAACTAATTAACTTAATTAAATAAAGTTAGTGCTCAATATATCTTATTTTGGTAACCACACCTGGAAAAGGGGGACTTCCTATCAAAACACCTCTTTTGTATAAAAAGAACAGTAGATTCAACCACAGGTAATACAAGAAGTCAACGTCAGTATTCTAAATCAAGTTTGTTGTTTTAAATTTGTCACTAATTGTCTCTTAAGCAAAAATGTGGACATACTGGAGAATGGTTTAAGATCAGAGTTGCTATTTCTAAATTCTGAGTTGTTTTCTAAAAATACAGAAACAAAAAAAAAAAGAGAGAGAGAGAGAAAGAGAGAGAAAAGAAAAGAAAGACAAAGAATTTAAAATGCAGCCCATGCAAGGCAGTGTCTCTGGGAGAAATTATGGTTTGAGAAACTCTCTCTTAAAGGTTCCACTAGTGGAACTACCCCGGATCAAACTAAACACCTTGGTCAAAGAGTTTGTCTATCTGCCTACAAATAGTCCCTCTAAAATTCAGAGATTAAATAATTCCATTACAGATCACAAAGCCTATGCATCAGAAAATACAAAAATGATTCTAAGAACTACTGTGTTACAGAAGGTAAGTAGGGGATCTTTATTTGCACCAAAATTTGAAGTTTATTTCTTCTATTTTACTACACTTAGAAACATAATTTTTAGACACTGTAGTCATATTAAAATACGTAGTAAAAAGAGACAACTGCTTAATTTTTTTCAAATGGAAAATAAAGCCCAGATATAATTAGGATAAACCACTCAAGCCCACTTATAACACAGACCTCCTTGGTCTGGAGGTCTTCATCTTATTCCTTATAGATTAGGTTTAGGCTTCAATTCTTAATTTTAAAAAGTTATCCAATAAATAAGATTTAATTTGCGAAAGAAATCCTCGTACAATGTTCCTTATAGAAACCTAATATGAACTAAAGCACTGCTGTAAGTCATATATAATAAACTTTTACAATCATCTTTTGAATCTTGCTAACCATGTGCTCTATGCCTTCTGAGAAGCACTTTTTGTTTAAAAAGCAGCAGCAAAGGACGTAGCACTCTACAAATTAGCCTTAACCTTAAGGATGAAGATCAGGACGGATCCCGTGGGAAACACCTTATTTTCATAGGGCTGTGAAAAGTATGAGTGCAAGTTAAAGGATTTGTTTGCTCAAGTATTTACACTGATGTCCACGACTTACTTTGAAATGCATCAGGGAAAAATGGATTAATGCGTTGAGATAAAGATGGATATAGGATCGAGGTTCACCTACACAATTCTTTCAACTTTTCTGTATGTTTGAAGATTTCCATGATAGAACATTAGGAAGGAGATGGGGGAATATGAAAGCGAGACTAGACTTTAATCTTCTTAAATGCAACTGACAAATCTTTGGGGTTTGTTTCTTGGATTTTTTAAAAGATTTTATGTATTTATTCATGAGAGACACAGAGAGAGGCAGAGACACAGGTCGAGGGAGAAGCAGGCTCCCCGCGGGGAGCCCGATGTGGGACTCAATCCCAGGACCCCGGGGTCACGCCCTGGGCTGAAGGCAGACGCCCAACCCCTGAGCCACCCAGATGTCCCGAATGACAACTCTTTGTAAAGAAAAAAAGTTCTACATCCCTTGTTTGAGGCAAGAAGTCTCCAATTTTCATCTTTAAATAATAAAAAAGGGAAATAAAATTTAAATCACTGATGGAAATAAGATTTTGCTAATTTTCAACTTAAAGCAGGAAGCTGGAATAGGCAGAAATGTTGACACTAAGCCTGAGGGTTTTTAAGTCTTTTATCATTTGCTCTCCCTTTATCTAAGGTCCTAAACTAAAAAGGCAGGAAACACCAAGTGATGGTCAAAAAGGGAAAAGGAAATGGGCTTTACATTCCAATACCATCTCGGTTAATCTGGGGCAGAGTTAATTTAAGATTTTAAGAAATTACAACATCCAGAGATTTGGAATATAAGGAATATAAGTAACTATATAATCTTATTCAGAAATGATTTTTAGCCCATCATACCCACTCTAGATAGAACTTCCTGTTAAGAATTCAAGAAAACCTTTGTTTCAATTCAGTTCACCATTTATTGAGCTTCTCCTCTGCAACTGAGCCTTATGCCATATGCTGCAGGGATCATCACTCAAATATAGCACGCCTTTTTTATTTCTTTGCATTGCTTCTTTGTTAAAGATCACTAGCTTGATGGATGCCCGGGTTTTTACCTCTAAAATTAAGAAAATAAAGAAATATTAAATTCAGGCATAGATTTTATGTATGTAAAGAAAAAAGTCTTCTCATTACTAAAGAAAGGAATGATAATGATTTTTTTTCAAAGTAATCTCTTTAAAAGTCTAATTATTAAGGTTATAGTAAACAAAAAAATTCTTTAAAAAAAGGATCACATTGCTGAAGGATCTGTCATTTGGCAGGAAGGGGAACATATTAAAAATTAAAATATATCTGCATTAAATTAGTATTATTTTTTATTTTATTTTTTAAAAGTTATTTATTATTATTATTTATTCAGAAAGACACAGAGAGAGGCAGAGACACAGGCAGAGGGAGAAGCAGGCTTCAAGTGGGGAGCCTCATGCAGAACTCGATCCTAGGACCCTGGGATCACCACCTGAGCCAAAGGCAGATGCTCAACCACTAAGCCACACAGGCGTCCCAATATTATTTTTTTTAAATGATCATGGCAAAATACTATTAAGTGAAATCTATGACAAAATTCAGGCAATATGGTGGCATATTCCTTTTTCTCGACTCTTTATACCTAGGAAAACTTACATCATCAGAAGATGCTGATGAAACAGTCTGTTCTTTATTTTTATGAGTCCATC